TTAGATAAAGAAAAATTAAACATCACATTTCTAAACAAAGTAATCTCTACAAATATAGAAATTTAACTTACACGAAGATAATATTTATTACAAAAATGTTTTTGACAAATCTAAATAGACAAGAAAAAAAATATATTTTTATTAAATAAAATTTTTCGTTTTGTTTTTTTTACTTCACAATAATCTTCACTAGTTTTTTCCGATATTTTAGTATTATTAATAGGTGATGATTGTTGATTAGTCATTAAAGATATTGATTGTTCATTTGATAAACATGGTGATGGTGGAGACAAAGATACATTAACATTATCATTTGTTTCTGTTAATGATAATGGTGAAACCATATTCAATCCTCCATGTTTTTTAGCAAAATGTGTTTTAAGAAAATATTTATTACAAAATGAACGTTCACATAAATTACAATAAGCTTCTTGTTGTTGTCGAGGATTATTGTTATTGCTAGTAGTAGTAGTAGTAGTAGTAGTAGCAGGAGGAGTTGTAATATATTCTTTTGTTAAATCTATTTAATGAAAAAAAAAATTTTAATTAATTATTAAATAATATATCGTACCCGTAGTTAATTCTTGTTGAGGAATCGCCTCTTCATCCTCATTTGTAACACTAGAAGAAGAAAAAAATAAGATAAAAATGTTTTTTTTTGTTAAATTAATCTACCGATTTGGTTTAAATTGTTTTCTTCGATTCGCTGATTTAAATAATTCATTATTCGTTATTTTATTATTTGATATTGATAAATCATTAATTTCATCTTCTTTTACAGTTAAATTATCATTATCACTAATCATGATTGAATCTTCGTTTTTCAATTTGTTATATTCGTCTTCAATGATCATCATCAAGCAAAAAGAGAAAAAAAATGATGAGATAAAGAATAGAGAGAGAGAAAAAATAAAGAAGAAGATATATGTACAACAGGATACGAGAAGAAGGAAGATTTATTAGTTTTGTTCTATATGAGGATGAGAAAAAGCAAACTCTCTCTCTCTCTCTCTCTCTCTCTCTCTCTCTCTCTCTCTCTCTC